TCGTTGCCTAGGAGTTACACACAATTCCATAACAACACTTAAACCACAGACAATGGACTCCTCAAATATTTAATTCAATAAAGTTTAACTTAATTCAATAAGGCTGGTCCAGGACATTGCAAGGTATTGTCAGAGCTGTCCCAGTAGGTGTCCCCCAGACAGGGACAATGGGGGAATACCAAAGGTTAACAATGGTACTTTCACCCTGATCTGTGATGATCTCTTCATGCTCCGAGGGTGAAGGAAGATTGTAAAAATAGGAGCTGGAACCTGGTCTCTCTGAGTCCTGCTCTGTCTCTCACTCCTTTCCCATTTCTCTCTCTCTCCCGCTTCTCCCAATTCACTCCAAGGTGAAAGTTTCCCCCATGAAATCGGAGTCCCAGCGCATCGCAACCTGCTGGTTTGCTCCGTGTCAGGGTTTTACCCTGGGGGGATCGAGATCAAGTGGCTGAAGAACGGGCAGGAGCAGACGGGCGGGGTGGTGTCCACGGAGCTGCTCCAGAACGGAGACTGGACCTTCCAGATCCTGGTGATGCTGGAGATGAGCCCCCAGCGCGGGGACATCTACACCTGCCAGGTGGAGCACATCAGCCTGCGGGACCCCCTCGCGGCGCACTGGGGTAAGAGCCTCTGGGTGTAGGGCAGCCCCTGAGCCCACAGGGGCAGCCCTCGGGGGATGGGCCTGGGTCAATCCCTGCCCCACCTCTGGGGCAGAGAGCGCAAGGGGAAGGAGAGGCTGAGCTCAGCCTAAACCACCCGTGCTCTTCTTTCCACAGAGGCACGGGCTGACTCTGCCGGGGCACGATGCTGGCTGGGGTCGGGGGCTCCGTGCTGGGGTTGCTCTTCATGGTCCTGGGATTGCTCGTCTGCCTGAGGAATAAGAAAGGTGAATGGCTCTGGGATGGGGCCAGCGGCCCTGGAAATGACTCCCAGTGGGGCCATGATGCAGTGGCACTGGAGGGTTTCACTCGAATTTTGATTCACAATTTGCTTTAATTTCCCCTTCAGGCTCGAATCCAGTGACCCAGGAACTTCCTGCCCATCTCCCAGCCCAGCCCCTGGCTCCCCATAAACCTGAGTCAGACCATTCAGAGTCTGAGCTCCAGTGGTGCCCTCCTGCCTCCCCTCCAGGTCTCCTCTCTAGTCCCACACACTCCTGGCCCTGAATCCACCTGGCTCCAGAGCTGAGGGCCCTGAGGCCCTGTCCGGATTGGGGCACTGGGAGATCAGGGCCCTAGGAGATCGGGGCACTGGGAAATCGGGGCCCTGGGATTCTCCTCCCTCTGGTACGTTTGCAGGGCCGGTGCAAGGAAGTTTCACCCCATCCAGCTAACTCCCCCCTCCCGCCCCCACGGCAGCTAATGACGCCCCCCCAACCGACGAGCTCCCCCAGCGGCAGCTAACCCAGCCCGCCACCCCCTGACCCAGGGAGCCCACCCGGGGAGTCCCCCAGCTCCCCGCAGCAGCTATCCCCCCTCCGTGGCAGCTAACCCCACCCGGGGAGCCCGCCCCAGCTCACCTCCGCTCTGTCTCCTCCGCTGAGTGCGCCGGCACCGCTCTAATTCTCCTCCCCTCCCAGGCTTGCGGCGCCGATTGGAGGAGAATTAGAGCGGGGACTGTGTGCTCAGTGGAGGAGGCAGAGTGGAGGTGATCTGGGGCAGGAA